GTATTTGCTATGGATGAGCCCCATTATTCCCTGGTTGTTAGAAAGTTCTCATTCTGTCTTCATACAGATGCAATTGCTAGATGTTAACTAACTCAGCATTCCATTTTTCCAGGACAGTAATCAGTGTGTGTTTTCATGTCATCCTTAGCATGATGTGATGCATGACAGAGGGAAGGGTGTGGGGCTTAGTAAATTGAATTCAAATAAGAATTCGAATTCAATTCATTTGTTATGCAAGTCCTTTTCTTTATGTAATACAAATTCTTGAGGATCTAAAGAAAAGCTGAATGTATCTCAAAATATTCCCGTTTTTGTTTTTCAGGATATACATACGAAGACTATATCCTTATGGTCTTATATCAATAGTCAGCTCGATGAATTTTCTAACCCCTTCTTTGTGAATTATGAAAACCACGTCTTATATCCTGTTGCTAGTATGAGTCATTTGGAATTATGGGTAAACTATTACGTGCGATGGAATCCACGAATGAGGCCTCAGGTATCTTTTTGTTTTTCTTCTTTTCAAAAGAGCACGTCTTTCTGCCACCCTAAGGGTAACAGCCTGGCCTTGTCCTCAAAGCCCTGTGTGGTCTGACCCCAGCCTGCCTCTCCTGCTCACCTCTCACCAGGTCCTGCTGCCCCTCCCCTCCAGCATTCCAGAACCTTCCAAGTATTAGAAGCATGTGCTGTCCCTTCTACCTGGATCACTCTTCCCCCACCCTTTTCACACACATGCTTGCTTCATCCCACAGGGAGCAGTGTGAAGAGCACATGCTCTGGGGGTGGGGGGTGCTTTTGGACACTCCACTCCTACCAGGCCTGTTAATTTCATCATTTATCTCCACCAAAGAGTGAACTGTCCAACCATGGAGCCAATGATGATGAGCCATTAGAGGGTGTTAAGTGGTTGTGCCTAGCTATATGGAAGGAAGGAAGGAGTGAAGAGCCAGTGTCCCCAGGGGACTCGCCTCTGCTGGCAATGCCCTCTCCAGGGGCTTCTGCTAGCTCCCGTTCCAATAGATGAAAATGAATGAAATTTCAAGTTGTAGAAAGTGCTGGTTTAACAGAAGCATTTTTAGTCAGTAGAGCTATTTATAAAATTGTAAAAATTCAGAGGTAATGGAGGTATGTGTGCATGCAAGGGGCACAAGCCAGTAGCATTTTACGACCAGTCTGAAAAGACTGTGTGTCCTTCTCCCAGTCGGTACCTGTGGCCTTGCCTGATGCCCAGGTTGAGGTTTCACTTGAGCCCGCTCGTGTTCTCTGGGAATTTGGCCAAGCTGGCAGGAGAGCACAGGGTGACAAAAGCATCCCTACAGGGTTAGTTGGAGCCTCCGGCTCCTGTGTCGGGAGTCCCTGTAGCTTGGCATGAGGACACATGGGCATCTTGGTTGTGAACTCATCCTGCAGTGAGAAGCATCTGCATGCTGAAAGTGCCCTTGAGTGGCTAACGCAGCAATGTTCTGCTTTCCCCCAGATGCCAATTCACCAAAATCTCAAGGAGCTGCTGGCTGTGAGGGCGGAGCTGCAGAAGAGGGTGGAAGACCTGCAGCGGGAGGTGGCCACTCGAGCCTCATCCCCATCTGAGCGGGGTTCCTCGCCTTCCCACTCAGTCACACCCGTGCACACCTCAGTCTGATGCTGTAGAGACGATGGTTCCGGTGAGTCCAGCCACCGAGGCCATCCTGCAGCTCCACTGCTCTCCCTGATGACTCAGGCAAGGGTCCTGCTACCTGTTCCGGCTACAGATTGTGATCTTGTCTTTTAGTATTAGGCCCACTGCCTTCCACATCTGGACGGCACTTCCAACCAGCAACTTGTGTGTGGCTAAGTGCCAGCTCCCACTATCATCTATAGTTTTTTGTTTTCTGAACATCCCATTTCCCTCCTGTTGGGTTTCTCGGGGTGGCTGTCTGTCCCATTGACCCTGTGACCAGCCCAGGCGCTTGGGAGAAGCCATAGTGAATGGAACACAGTGCTTCGGTTCAAGAAAGTCTCATATCCTTTCTTTCCTTCATTAAAACAAACACCATTTACTTAGAGACCATGTTGCCAGCCCCGGGCTTCTTTCAGCTCCTCGCTACAACTTGACTGTTTTAAAGTTAACTATTTTTTGGGGGAAATAGACCATTGTCCTCCGTTCTGGAGTTCTTGCAAGGGGGCCCCTGTACCAATTACTGTTGTGTACATGTAAGGTATTTTTTATAAAGATAAATATGCATTTATTTTCCTATGTCCTTTTTTATGTTTTTACCAGTCACTCCAGGAGGTATCTGCTAACTGGACTGTGTGAGAAATTCTTTTCAAAAATAGCTCATGATAACTTTTATGTGGTACATTTGACACGTGACTTGAATACAATCGTTTAAAAGGCACCGTGTCTAGCCTCACCCAACTTTGGTACTTGCCCCGAGGTAGCCTAGGCCACTGATGGCAATAATAGCAGTTTCCCTTGGGAGAGGACTCCGGCAGCTCTGCGCTGGCCTCCCCGTGGGCTCCTTCACAGAGCTGTCCACAGCTCCTGGCCTGTCTGACCTTGCAGCCTCCTGCTTCTGAGTCCACTCTCACCTGTTCCCTGCCTGTCTGAAGATCACTTTCATTCAGTCTATTCCTATGACTTCATGTCAGTATTTTAAAGCAACCACCGAGCTGTGGCTTCAGTTGCCAAAAGCAGAACATGCACTTCCCTGGGTTTTCTCATCACAAAGCCAACCTTGTCCGGCCAGGCCTCTCCTCCCAGTTTTGAGCCTTCCCTCCTGACTTTGGCACTCTGTCAGCGTGGGTAGGAACTAATTTACCATCAGCTGGTCCATCCACTAGAGCTAGAGCTGAGTTCCTCTGTGTGGTGTCACAGAATCTTGCACCCACCCCAGCAGGTCACACCCTCCCCCTGCCCTGCCCATTTTTTGCCAGTCACTGGAACCCCCTTCACTGCGGGAATTAAGCTTGCCTTTGGAGTCAGGGCGCCTCAGAAGCCCATAGGATTAGTGCTGAGTACAACTGCATTGGAATATCTAGTTTGTTTAATTGATGCACAGTCTTACATATTGACCTTATTTTTGAAAATATATTCTTAAACAAAGATTTTTTTACAAATAGCTAAGAGAGATGTTTTTTCAACTTGGAGCTTTCTGATTCTTAAAGAAAATTATCTGGTACTCATAAACGTATCAGAAGTACTTCTTCAAAGTGATTTGATTACCTAAAATGAATTCTCCATTTTTATCAGCTGGGGATTTGTTTCTAAATCACAGTTCAATTTATATTAGCTTTTGATTTATGCTCCCAACATATCTGAAAGCTTATTTACAAATGGATAAACTGGATTATTCATTGATACTCTGATTTTTTTTTTTCTAAATGGAGACATTCCCTTTTTTTTTGTTCCCTAGAAATATCCTTAACTCCCCAGCTGCACTAAGACTATTAAACTTGGTGGGGACTGGATGAGGCTTCTGACAGAACCAGAGTAGCAGAGTGGGTTTAGTCTTGCCCAGGTCAGCTAGCGTGGTGCTGGGCAGTGTGTGGGCCTAGCCTGGGCTGCCACACCTTCCTCTGCATGCGGGACCCTAGGAGGAGCCCTAGAAACTCCCCTTGGATTTGAAAGCAGCAATCAAGATCATTCTCCTTGATATGTTCCTAGCACAAAACTATTTCTAAAATAATTTGAAGTATAGTTTTGTTACCTAAGCAGTTTTTTTTTTCCCCCCCCGGTTTTATTTAAGTGTACTAGAATGTAAAACCTTTACGGTGCAGATTTTTAAAAACTGGTACAGTATCGTATTTGCCTCATCTGATGCACTATATTACAATCTGTAATTAAAATGATAATATCTTTGCTCTGTGGTTTCTTTTTTTCAAGTGTTTTGGTAGATTTTTCCCCTTGGGGAAAATTAGCAATGGTAAACAGTCAATCCATGTTATTTTATGATGTGCCTTTCAATAATTGAATTCATTTACTAAAGTCATAAATGCAATTTATCTGAAGTCCTCATGATTTGGCTGAAATGGGTAAGTACTGTGATTTAGAAATCTGAAATGCCCCTTGACCTTAACCTTGAAAAAAATGTTAATGACAAAGGAAAGGACTGGAGACACCTGAGAACCAGATGCACCTCTGAGGAGGCAGGGCTGTCTTTCCAGGCCATGAGTCCTTCACCCTAAAACTGGGTGCACTTCTAAGAAGCGCACATAAGGAATGCTGGCCTTTGGGGGGTGGGGGTAGTTGTAAGGGCTTGGATGAAACCATGGTACCCCTGAGGCCTACCCTTCTTAAAAAATCCTGGGTTCCTGTCCCTTTCCACAGAGCAGTCACTGGAGCTGTAGTTCTCAGCGGTGACAGCTGAGTAGCAAGGCTAGGAGGGCCACTGTGTGAGACCCCAGTTGGCCATACAGAACCCCTGCACTGAAAAGTCACTCAGTGGGTTTGGGTTTGAAGACTTAGTGCTGTTTTACTACCAGAACAAAAATGTCACCCACCTCAATGTGGAAGTCCTCCCAGTGCCCACCGCATCTTGCTCACGCTGAAATGTCAGGTTGTCTTTTCTGTTTATAAGTCAAGCTGTGGGGTCGTGACAAGAGCACACTTTATCCCAAGCAGGCCATTCCACACGCAGCAGCAATGAGTGATGGGGTGCAGGGCCCCCCTCCCTGCTCAGTTTGTCTGGCTGAAACCACTTCCATGCTGCCTTTTGTTGAAGAAGGCAAAGCAGTGGGCTTGGGAGTCAAGAGTCTGGGGCCTGCCTCTGCCCTCCCGCCCACCCCTTACCCCCCACGCACCCTGGAACATCAGGCAAGTCACTGGATAGCTCCAGGCCTTAGCTCCTTATACCCTGAGGGGGGCCAGCCCCTGGAAGCCCCAACCTACCCCTCTCCTTCCGGAGAAAAACCTTTGGCTGGGGAGGGTGTGGGGGAGGTGGGCTCCATTATCATAATGAAGGAAAAAACAGCATCATCTGACAAAGGAAGGGCCTTAAACACCATCACAATGCAAGAATCTCTTAGGTTCCATTTTATTTAATGCAAAGACGAGACAGTTTACAATTCACACTTAAATACAAGCACATAAAAAGTACTGGGGACTCGATCAGTCTCTATTTCTTCTTCCTCCGAGAACTGGTACTAACGCCCAAGCCAAGTAGCCAAGGCAGTGGACTGGCACTGTTCTGTGGGTCTGACCTGAGAGGGTATTCCACCCCACAAAGCTGCCATGTCTCCTTCCTCCACGGGCTCAGTTATTAACACTGAGCCAGCTCTCCTCCCCCGCTTCCCCCAACCTGCCCACCACGTTAAGCTGATAAGGACTGGCTCCTTTCAACTGGCCCTTCTAATTCACTCACTGTGTCTCCCTTATCACCTGAGAGAGGCCTACACCAGCCAATGCAACTTGCAGATAATCACAAAGTTACAAAAGCCCTGTAGGCTTCTGCAGGTATCAGTACTCCCCCTGGGATGACAGCTCGGCAAATGGGTGGCTGAGTGATTTTCCAGGCTTGGCCAGCCACTAGGAGAGAGTCTGAGCACGCCTTCTGCAGAAGGCACCCAGAGAGCTAGGAAGGAACAAAATGGGTTTGGCAACTGAAGTCAGTGCTGCTCAGAATGTGGCTTTACTGAGTGTGTTTACTTCTCAGCCCAGATGGAGTAGTGCAGGCTCTTTGCCATCACAAGCCTAGGGTTAAAGCTAAGGGGAGAAACCCAACAGTGCTAATTCCGGTGCCAATCCTCACCATGCCAAGGGCCACACAGGCTAATCGCTCCTCATCCTACTCGCTGCTGTGGCTGACTTCTCTATACATGTGCACAGTTCCCGGTGGCAGGTAGAGAAGTATTTAATCGCATGCAAACGCTGGCCCTATGTTTCCCCTTTAAAGGCCTCAGGAGGGCCTTGGTGCCCAGCCATCCTAACGCAATCCCTCTCTGACTCCTGTCCTTAGGACACTGGCTGTCCCTGGGTCCTGAGGTCAACCAATCTATGTAGCAACAAGACACAGGTGCAAAATTCTTCATAGCTGCCTCCAGCCCAGCACTGGCCAGGGTTCAGGCCATTAGCTCTTATCATCATTGGGATGGAGAAGCCAAGCAAAGTTGACAACAATCTGGCTAGTAAGGGCTGGGAGGTGTTAGAAACGGGCATACCTTGCAAGCAATGCCTCCCCTGCTCAATCTCTTGGAACCTGGGGAGGCCACATTTTCCTTCTTTCAATGTCCTATGCTCCACACCCCATCAAAGACACACACTCCTGGCTGAATGGGAGGTACCCCGACACAGAAGGCATTTTAGGACCCACAGGCCTGCATTGGGAATGGATCTGAAGGGCAGCACTGAGCCACACAATCCAACCGAACTGATTACCATCACACAACGGAGTATGTTTTTAAAACAAGTGCATAAATGAACACATGGGGCATCCATTAGATAACCTATGGGGTCTGTTCAGGTTTCAACTGTTTCTTTAAGTTGGAGTTGGCTCTCAGCTCAGCAGACAAGGAGCTAACATAGAGCCTGGGAGACTGGTGGGGCCTCCCGTGCAGGGCAGAGGCACATGAACTTGTGTACATAGGAGCCCACCTTCCTGCTGACCTTCATTATGCTTTCAGGGAGTGACTTTTGACACTCCCAACTCATAATCAGTAGACGGTGACTCCACATTCTAGCTCAGCTTCTAACAGCAGAGTTCCCAGAAACAGGCCAAAAAGAACATTCCAGGAAGTCAGCTCTGCTCCAGCCCAAACAAGATAGTGCCAGGTCAAGTGAGGAGCCAGTCCTCAGGTTCTGGTGTTTCCCGCAGTGAGCAGGCCCCCAGTGCTCATCATCAGCAGGCCAGGCAGTATATCTATAAACTTGCCAAGGCAGGCATATGTCGTTAAACCAAGCAAACATCCTTTCCCTCCCCTCCCCTCCCCTTTCCCTCAAATATATTTCTAAGCAAACAAGCATGCTTCTGGCTTTGATACTCATTCTTGATGTCTAGCTTTTGCTACCAAATAAGGACACAAGAGGGAGGGGGATAAATGCATTTCTAGTACATAAATGATTCCTAAAAACTAATCATGTCAGCCTGGAGACCACGTCCAATCCCCTGTGGAATCAGAAGGGAATTAGACCTGAGAGTCACAGCTTCTACTTGTCTAGAAAATTCCTAAACTCTGAGGGCAGGGCTAGCATGCCATGCATTTTTGCAATTAAATAAATGTAAAACATAAAGCTCTCTGGAAGCCCAGCAGCAGGTGTCAAACTGGAATTGGAAAGGACAGAAATGACCCCCCCGTACCTGGTGTTCACTCGTTTGTTCCTTGCAGGGTCTCTAAGCACCATGTGTGTTAGCTGTGTTAGTTCTCTGAGGTCACACCAGGGCTGCCTTTTGGCAGAAACCCGCCAGTGAGTCAGTGTAATAACTCAGGAATCACACTACCCTGTGGTCTATCTCTTGTCTGCTTGGCCTCCCTCAGCTTGGTCCCCCTCCCCAGCTCAGTGAGGTCTGGGACTGTCTAGTTTTGGGGAGTAGGTGACCCAGCAGCTCCCAAGGCTGGATTTTAGGGTACCTTTGGCAGGGAGGGCACCCCACACTGTCTGCAAGGCAGAGAAACCAATCTCACAAACACCAAGAGCTCATCCAAAAAAAAAAACTTAGAACAACGAGAAGCCAATGATATCAAAGGAACAGGACAGCAGCTGTGGGTCCTAATGAAAGAAGGATCTTGGTCCTCAGTGGCAGGACCACTGTGAGCGGCTGCTGCAAGGGATCCTCAGATCCGAGGCGGCTGGGGCTGCGGTGGCTCTGCGGACTGTGGTGGCCGTTCTGAGTATTTCACTGGGAAGAGAAGATGCCCATTAGAAGGGATTCATGTCCATGCTGCACAGAAGGCACAAATACACAAGCCAGCTCCTGCTGGGGACAGCGAGCTGGTTCCCTGTCTGTCCTGTCCAGGGGCTGGGGCAGCACAGCCCTGCCTGGCCAAACTCCCCTCTAGTGTAAGGTGACCAGACGTCCCGCTTTTGACAGGACATTCCCGATTTTTAACAATTTGTCCTGTGTCCCACAGCGATTTTAAAAAAAATCGGGACTTTTTTAAAAACGCCTCAGGACAAATTTCATCCTAAGCAAGTACTCATCCTAAGCAAGGGCGTGGGGCACCCTGTGCACCCCCACTGCTGCTGCCCGCTAATATAGCCACAAGATGCCTACTCAGCCCCTACTGAGGAAAACAGCCTTTCCTGACCACCCCACTCGAATTCTGGAGCCATAGGTGGTATCTACCCTGAGAAGTTGACCCCTCCAGGCCAGTAGACCTTAAGCAGCCTCCATTGCTGGTGGCTCCTGCACCCAGAACGGGCTTCATGACCATGAAAGAGCCAAGGAGAGAGCGAGGGAAGGAGGGACGGAGGAAGGAATGGAGAGAGGGAAGGAGGGAAAGAGAGGGGGGAAGGAAGGGTGGAGGGAGAAAGGGATGAAAAGAGGGAGAAAGGGAGAGGGGGAAAGGAAGGGTGGAAGGAGAAAGAGGAAAAGAGGGAGAAAGGGAGAGGGGGAAAGGAAGGGTGGAGGGAGAAAGAGGAAAAGAGGGAGAAAGGGAGAGGGGTGAAGGAAGGGTGGAGGGAGAAAGAGAGGAAAAGAGGGAAAAAGGGAGAGGGGGGAGGAAGGGGGGAGGGAGAGAGGAAAAGAGGGAGGAGGGAGTAAGGGTGGAGGGAGAGAAGAAAAGAGAGAGAAAGGAAGGAAGGGAGGGAGGGAGGTTCCCATAATAGGGTCCTTGTTTTAACCAAGTTCCCTCTTGCCTTTGGCAATTTTCAAATTAAAAGTTTATGTGTCTAGGGTAAAATATCCCCCAGGACTCTATCAGAATTTGTCCGGAGTCATCTATTTTCATTGCAGCGAGTACATGAGCCAGGGGCTCATGCTCAGATAACTCAGGAGCACAGACCAAGCCCCAATAGCGCACTGAAGTTCTTAACACAGCACCAGCTGTCCCTCGCTGTGGTCCCACTCTCCCTGGTGGCCATCTGATCAGGGGCTGAGTGCAGGGACCTCTGGGGCACTGCAGCCCTTGTTCCGCCTGGATATTCTAGAAACAGACACCTCTGCACTTCCTGCTTCCCTAGCACAGTGCTGGGTTCACCAACTAGGGGACCTTTGGCAAGGGACACTGACCAAAGTCTTTACCTTGAGGTTCTTCACACACAACAGCTTCCAGGTTCTCTCCCTTCACGTAGTCTGCATTGAGACCCTCTGCAAAGGGCAAAGGGCAGAGTTAATGACTGAACCAAAGTGTCTCCCACCATGATCAAGCACTCCCAACCAAGTCCTCCAACTCCCTTCAGACTCAGACCCTGCACCCTGAGCCACCTGAATGTCATTTGGGCAGAGTGGCTGGCTGGGAGTGTGCTGCCTGCCCAATTCTCATCATCATCCTCAGAAATGATATAACGTGGCAAAGGCCCCTAACAAACCCCATCCGCATAGGGCAGATGGCACCGCATGTAGATTGTGGGCCAGACAGCAGCTCCGCTCAGCAGAGGGGGTACCAAATAGCAGGGCTCAGTGTCACCCGTGGGTCCATATGCTGGGCCAGGGACCAGGGAGGCAGAGAGGGAGCCAAGCATTGCATGAGTAACTGATGGATGCTGAGCAGAGAGGGGCAGATAGCTGAGTGGAGCTCACTTTGGAGATGCCTGCAAAGCCTCCTGCTGGTGAATAGCCTTCCGGGCAACACCGGCATGGAGAGGCCAACCAGCTCCTCTACCCTGCCTTAGCGCGTACAGGTGCTAGGGCCCAGTAACAGCTGCTCTGGTCTAGTTACTTGGGCTTCTCCCGCCCACTTCCAAGAGGGACAAAGTATCCTCTGCATGCCAGTTCTCTGGCCACCGAGCAGTACCATGCTGGACACTCAGGACTCAGAGTGGACCCCACCTCTGCTGCTGCTTGGGGAGAGTCAAAAGCCCCTGTCTTATTCTTAGATTGGCAAGAGACCGGAAATCTCATCAGAGCTCTGGGCCCGTGGGAACACTGGATCATGGTTACAACCAACCAACCAAATGAGTAGGCGCCAGTGTACGTCATTCCACCTCCGGGGCTGCATTCAGGCTCTTTGCCTAGAAAAGTATGTCTGGCCGAAACTGGTTTGGCTCAGTGGATAGAGTGTCGGCCTGAGGACTGAAGGGTCCCGGGTTCGATTCCGGTTGAAGGCATGTACCTTGGTTACGGGCACATCTCCAGTAGGGGGTGTGCAGGAGGCGGCTGATCGATGTCTCTCTGCCATCGATGTTTCTAGCTCTCTATCCCTCTCCCTTCCTCTCTGTAAAAAATCAATATATAAAAAACAAAATAGAAAAAAGAAAGAAAAGTATGTCTGTATGCCCTGATGCTTGCTGGGCTCAAGGCGACACCAGATGGGTCCAGTAAAAATGTGGGTGTCTGTCAGCAGGTGTGGCTGGCCCCCATATGGGACAGAGGTTAGGTGATGGAGCTGGGGGAAGCTATCCCAAGCTAATGGGCGGGGATGGGAGAGGCCTTGACTTCTGATCACTGTCCAGCTGCTTTCCTGGCATATGCACTGGACTGGCTTTTACCTGTGTGCAGTCATCTGGTTGCTCCTCAGGAATGACCACCAGGGGGCATCTGAATCCCACACACGACCTTCACCGCCACCCACACATCCCTGAACCCAGCCTCGGGACAGAAAGTCTGGCAGGTGGCACCCTCCCACGTGTATCAGGGAAAGCTGAAGATGGTGTGGTTGCAGCCAAGTTGGAGAGTGCCAAGGAAGAGGATGGGGTGGAGAGCGGTGAGGAGGAGCAAGAGCAGCGGGATTGGGGGAGGACGGAGGGGGCGGTGACAATGAGGCATTGAGGCCAAAGCTGAAGAGAAAAATGAGTACGTCAAAGTACATTGTTACCTTGACCTTCTGCTGCATCTGAAGGCAAGACACAAAACTTAGGACCTGCAGCAAGAACTCAGTCCCCGGTAACAAAGCACACGGGCTTCCGGTGAAACACGCTGGCCCTTGGCACTGAAGGCAGAGACGGGAAGCAAAGGGTTCCCACAACCTGAGCCCTTGTGATGGCAGAAAAGGCTGGAAGCCCCTAAGGGCCACAGCGAGGAGAGACCCTTCTAGTAGCCACGCACCACCCCTAGGGGGGATTCCTGGTGCACCCAGTGCAGAGCAGCTTCTGCTCTGCCTTTCCTGACCTCCGCACAGTGGGAGCTGAGGCCACCCTGGGCAGGAATTCCCAGCCCCCAGCTTCACAGTGGGCTTAGCCACTCCCACATCCATGGGATTCTTCCTGATCCCCCCACAGCGTAGGTACCAGGTATCACAAGACGCACACACAGTCTTCCCACAGGCTGACAGTTCGGAGTGAATGGGGCAGCAGTCACAGATGCAGAAACAAACCACCAAGCCCAATCCTGCCCCATGATCTCCATACCAGTCAGCAGGGGGCACTGTGGGCACATTCAGGAGATGCATCTGGTCAGGGCCCTCAGGCTGAAAGAGTAAGAAGGCTTCCTGGGAAGGGAGCCCAGGCCCAAAGAATGAGAGAAGCTAAGTGAGGAGAGGGGACAGCAAGAGAGGGTGCTGGAGGCCCCAGGGCACACTCAAGGAAGTGAATATGGCTGAGGTGAAAATCTTATGGGGCCAGGGCTGCAAGGGTGGGGAGGGGAACGAAAGGGCAGGGTTGTGATTTGAGGGAAACAAACTACAGAATGACAAGCAGTGAGGAACATGGGAGGTCCTGGCAGAGCTGGTCCTGTGCATTTTTAAGCAGGTCCCTCTGGCTGCTCCGCACAGTGTGAAGTACGGGGAACATGGGGACAGGCAGGAGGCTGATGGAACCATCCAGATAGAGGACTAGGAGACCTGGCCCTAGAAAGGAATGGGCCATGGTGGTGGAGTGACCCCAGAGCAGGGGGCACAAGCCCCAAGATTGGTCAACCACAGATGTGGCATGAGGAGACAGGAGGATCTAAGAGGACTGGTGGAATCTGTGAGAGGGGGGAGGGGTACAGGGACAGTGTGGACACAAGTTAAAAACTCTGAAGAGAAATTTGGTAGTACAGGGAGAAGCAAAAGAGGTCCTTTTCAAAACTGGGGGATACTTCACACTTGAATTTTTCTGTGTAAATTGGGGGTGATGTTAGCACTTGAATAGGTGTCAAATAAAGGGATTCAGGACAGTGTAGGTTAAACAATGATAATGATATCATTAATAGATTGAAGTGGGGGAATGGGACCAAAGACACAGGTGGAGGGACCACTCCACCTGGTTGGGTGAGATCTGTGGGTGAGATCTGATCTGAAGCCTGTGGCAGGGAAGGAAGCCTCCCCTTAGACTGAAGTGGAGGTGCTGGGGAGAGGCCTACTGGTTCCCACGCAGGGATCTGTGAGGCCAATGAGTTCCATGAACTTCTTCAAAGCCATCATTAGCTCTAACAGCCCATTTGTTTCCCTCGCCTATGCCACCCTGCCAGCAGGCTCACCCCCACTACCTGGCCCAACAATAACCTCACTTCAAGGTTGCCCCCCAGAAAGGTCACATCCATGTCCTCCAGCTTTGTTGCCACAAAACTTTCAGCTGTCATTCACACTCCCTCTTTTGGGTTTATTCTTTCCCAAATCTATACTAACAAAAGGGTAATGTGCTAATTAGGGAAGACATCTTCCGGACATCCATCTGGACGTCCATTCAGACAAAGCTGCGAGGTCCAGTGTTCACAGCAGCCTCGAGCCCCAGTGGCTGCGAGGCCTGGAGCTCAGCCCTCACATATGCCACGGCCAGCAGTGGCAGCAGCAGCGGGGTGATGGGGTTCGCACCTTCCCCTGATCAGTCTAGTCGCCTCCCGTAGAGGGAGGCCAAACTGCAGCTTAGGCCCGCTCCCCATGGACATCCCCTGAGGGCTCCCAGACTGTGATGGAAGGGGGGGGGGCAGGCCAGGTTGAGGGACCCACCTAGTGCATGAATTTTCGTGCACTGGGCTTCTAGTATCATATAAGTTGCTCAGTTCTATATACCAAGTCCTTTCATGTGTTCACATTTTATTTGCCTTCCCTGATAATCCAATTTGCAAAACCTCAGATCTGTTTTATGTGAAAATAATGTATTCTCATTTCACCTTAGTACCCCCACAGAGACAAACACATACAACCTAGACATCTCTTTTTTGGTTTGGAAATCAACCTTTTTTCTCCTCCTTCTTTCTACCTACTGGCTCCCCTTCTGGATTCACGGCTTCCCATCTGGAGTAAGTTCCTACAAGGTCTGTCTGTGCCTTTGTTTCAACTATGAGATGAGGGTGTACATCATTTCTACCCAATGGGGCCGTGGGAGGTCTTACTATTCGGGTAATGATGTTGTACTGGAGTGAATGGTGGCCTCCAAAAAGTTATATCCTGGAACCTGTAAATGTGACCTTATTTAGATAAGAGTCTTTGCAGAAGTGATCAAGTTAAGGATCTCGAAATGAGATCATGCTGGATTATTCAGGTGGACCCTACAATTAATGACAAGTGTCTGTATAAGAGACAAAATAGGAGAGACAGACACAGAGCGAAAGGCCATGTGAGGACAGAGGCAGAGACTGAAGTGATACAGGTTTCTATCATGGGACATATAGGGCCACCAGTACCTGGAAGAAGCAAGAAAGGATCCTTTCCTAGAGCTCCCAGAAGGAACCAACCCTGCTGACACCTTGATCTTGGACTTCTGGCCTCCAGAACTGGCAGAGACTATATTTCTATTGTTGTAAGGCAGTCCGTTTCTTTTATTTTGCGCTGGGACAAAGGAAAGCTCTAAGGACAATCCAGTCTCCAGGTCTGCACTCCTTCTGATTCTTCCTGTTCACACCACTCTACAGCCAAGCTCCGCAATCACTGGGGAGTTGACAGTATCTCAAGCAGGGAGACCATGAACAGTTGTGCAGGTTGTGCACAGGGATGTGAATAATGCCCCCAGAGTACTGTGCACAGTCTGTGTAGCTGTATGCTGTGGCCCTGGTCAAGAATGTTGTGTAAAAGAAGCAAGTATGATGGCTGGATGAAAAAGTAGTTGGAGATTTCAGCAATATCCTCACTCAAATCATTCTGGGACTCAAGTTAATTTTTCTGGGGAGCTCAGCTCCCAACTAGAATTAAGGGCAGAGTTCTAGAGCAAGAGTAAGAGAAGCCTCATAGGGGATAATCCTAAGCTTCAGGAAAGAGGAAATCTACCGCTGAGTCAGATACTGTCCCTTGAACTAAAAATTACCAGTCTTAGAGACATACTCTCAGCAAACAGTGACACATCAATGCTGTGCTTACAAAACCAAGTGTGGTTTTTCTGCCTCCCGCCCCAACAGCATTGCCACAGGGCTTCTGCTATGGGATACCTGACAGCTTCCAAGATAGAATTCCATTTGTACCACATCTTTAGAAAACCATGCCCTAAAGCAGATGCATCCTAGCTTTCACAAATCTAGTACGTAAAGGAAGGGGCAAAACTACATCTAGTTTCTCTCTCGCATTCCTACATTAAAACAATTCACAATTCCACGTATTTTAAGATGTTCTGGCTCACAAGGGAAGGAGCAGGGACACCAGGGCAGTGACTTCTTGGGATCTGAAAGGAAGGGAAAGGTTGCCAGAATTAGAGGTCCCCAGAGACTACTGCCTTCTGCTCTGGAGAAAAACGACAGCATGAGAGGGAGCTGTTGACCCCAGAGCCTCTGAAGCTCCCAAATTCCTTTGGGTGAAATCTGAGGCCATACAGAAATCCCAGGGTCTCTCCTGTTCTATGACAAAGAAACATCACAATGGCCACTGGGCTCTTCCCTCACAGAAATCTGGCTTCTAGAAACGAACCCTGGAAGACTGAGGTCAATGTGTTCAGCCCAATCCTCTCTTCTAGGCTGGTTTACACTTTAGTTTGGCCTAGACCTGTCCTCAAGCATTTCCAAAACTGCACCTCCCTCGCCCCTCCCCCAAGAAGTCTTCTCTGGAGTTGCTCTCAGGCAGGCTGTGGAATAGACCAGAATCTCAACTTGCTCATGACTCTTCCCTTTTCCCTCAAAAGGCCTTAACCATTCGTTCATGTCCAGGAGTGGGGGGAAAGCAATTGCTGAGGGCACAGCCACAAGTGGCTACAAGGCAGATCCACTTACGCTGGATTCGGAAGCAGAACTTCTTCTGCTGGTAGGAGATGTAGCTGGTGACGGCGCCAATCAAGGCCATGGCCAGGGCACTGGCCACACCGGCAATGGTGCCAGTCTCTGGTGACATTCCTGGGGAAAGATGAGGTTGGGAGAAATGAGAAGACTCGGAGTTGAGCTAAAAGTAACTAACACAAGGATCAGCTCAGACACTGACCTAAGTTTGTCCTATTGCTCAGGACTTCCGAGCCAGTTTTGAGAGACCCAGCCATTTGTATCAGAGGGGTTCAAATGACATAGTGCCCCCTTGGATTTGCCGAATGCTTCTCATTTTCTGTAAGGATTTCTATTTTGAGAAGCCTAAAAGGTGGACATGGAAACGGTGCAGTCCCTATTGAACTCAGTTCCACTTAGGTCTCTGGGTCTCACACCAGCGAGCTTCCCATGGGACCATCTCCCTGGAGATCCATGCTTTCATGATTCATTCCTTTAAATGACTCTGTCCCTCTGCTGTTGGCCTCACCATTCTTTAGTGGAAACAATGAGGGAAAGGTCTGATAGGCCAACTCGTGAGGAGAGTGGGCCAGCACTATGTCTCCTTGTGGTTTCCAACAGAAATCTTAGGACTCAAACTCACCGGCTTCCGAGTCGTCATTGGTGCCATACCGGCCATCACCTGGAGAAAGGATGAAAGCACAGTGTCTGCTGAGAGTCTATGACCATCCAGCTCGGGGTTAAGAGAGACAGCCGCTTTCCAACTCCCTGACCCTTCTGATTACCCCCTTGCACAGGCTCCAGGCAGTAAATCCCCCAAAGGAAGCAATACTCGCAAAGCCCAGGATTCCAGGTAGGAATTTTTATTTTCAAAATGATAGCAACTATGCATTGAGCATTTGTGATATCCTAGATCCTAATGCACAGTACTCCATTGAATTTCCTTGCAATCGAGTGGGGCAGATCACCTCACACCCCCATCTTACAGGAGAGCAGAAGCTTAAGGACTTGCCAACAGGTGGCTGGGCTGGGTCCATGTCAGGTGAGCCTGACTCTGAATGACAGCAGTATGTGTGTCCCATGCATCTACTATGGTAAGAGTATTTATTCTTTATCTACAGTAAAACTTTGTGGGGTTTTTTTAAAGATGAAATGCTAGCATAAATATTCATACTCCCACCAGCCAGTGAGATTTACGATTAATATTTCAATGTACTTTCTTCCTGTGCCTAGTACTTTATCTGCTTTTCTTCAAATCCAGATGTTTCTGTTCATGTAACTTAAGTACGTACACAGCATCCTTGCAAGATGCTACAGGATTAAATCATAAGAGTTTTTAAGGGCTTCCACGTCCAGCTTGGCATAGATTTGGAGTTGTTCTTAGAACATATACAAATGCAGGTTGACAATCCCTTACCCAGAATTTTGAAATTCAAAGAAAAATCGTTTCTGAAATATCACAGAGATGGAGATGAGATTAGTGGCTGAAAGGAGTTATTGAGGATAGCGGGGGGGGGGGGGGGGGGGGGCCACTGTCTGTGATTATAAAAGGAAAACAGGCAGGATCCTTGTGCTGGCACAGCTGTCCTTTATCTTGACTGTGGTGGTAGTCACAGGAATCTATACATGGGATAAAGTTTCATAAAACACACACACACACACACACACACTCTCTCTCTCTCTCTCTCTCTCTCTCTCTCTCTCTCTCTCTCTCCACCCCCCCCCCCCCCCCCCCCCCCCCGGCCCAGCAGCTCTCTGCCAAGCAAGGGGTGCCATTTCAAGACATTAATTAGCTCTGAGCACTCCTTTCATGTCGTCCTCTGCTTCTCAGGGCATAACACTCATTAATGGAGGGAGACTGTTCACAAAGCCGAGTCCTTAGGGGAAATGGCCCTGGGATGTTGGAGGCAATGAACTCTGACATTTCCCTCACCAATCAAAGAATCAGGGGGGAATGTGGGTTCCTGGATCGTAACAAATGTCCACCCTCTGGGAAGGGATGTTGGTACTGGGGGAGGCTGTGGGTGTGTGGGAGCGGGGTTGATATGGGAACTCTCTGTACATTCTGCTCAATTTTGCTGTGAACCTAAGAGTGCTCTAAAAAATAAAGTTGAAAAGAGTCTTGTGGGAGAAAATGAGGTTTGTTATGTTCCCACCTGGGGCTGAACCTTTGGATTAAATGCATTTTATAAAGAGCCATGGTTGGATCTGAATGGCTATTTACAAAACAAGGAACACTGGCATTTTCAAAACCACAATAGGGCTTCGTCAATGGCCTTCCACCACTGTGCTGGAGAGGCAAGCCCTCACATAGGCGTCCCTGCTGACATGTCACCAGTTTTCCAGACAGATCTGAGCAATTCCACCTGTTCTTTCACCTTGATGTGGAATGAAGCTGAGCGTTCACAAGTCTCTCCTTCCTTGTTAATGACATAGTCATGCAGATTCATAGCAACTTGAACCTCACAGTCTGTATGATGGCTGAGTTAAGAGGGTGTTACATGAAATGTAAATAGGACTGCCTCTGGCTATTGTTCATCCAGATGCAGACAGAAAGACCTGGTATTCTCCCAGGCTGTCAAAAAGACTCAAAATCTCAACACATCTCTACAAATCCCTCACTATCTGACAACCAGTGACTGTATGGAAACATTACCCTAAGATTACAAAAAAAAAAAAAAATGTTATTCCCCCCCTCAAAAAAAGTGATCCCATTCTATGATCTCATTACTCAGACGGGCATGTGAGCTAGAAACACTATGAGGTTAAACAAACAATTGGAAAAAAATGGGGCCAAAACCGGTTTGGCTCAGTGGATAGAATGTCAGTATGCAGACTGAAGGGTCCCAGGTTGATTCCGGGCAAGGGCATGTACCTTAGTTGCGGGCACATCCCCAGTAGGGGGTGTGCAAGAGGCAGCTGATCAATGATTCTCTCTCATCGATGTTTCTAACTCTCTATCCCTCTCTCTTCCTCTCTGTAAAAAAATAAAAAAATATATATTTTTAAAAATGGGCATTTAAGATTCTTCCATCCCTTCTAGTTGCATGATCCTGAATTAAAGTCAGCCACACAGACCTGCCATTGTAGTTAGCCAAGCCAGTGTCATGGCTTTGATCCTTGTTTGGCAACAGAACTCTATTTCCTCTGAGCACAGAGTGAACCCAGTTCCTTTATGAAATGCATGCCGTACAAAAGATAGTATTGGGACAACTGATGAACCACCGGCATAAAATAAATTTATCTAATCCAATACCTTCCACGGAAATTCCCAATAAATACAAAACAGATGAAGCCATAAAAGCACAACAAAAAAATGTAGGACAACATTATATTGTCTTGGGGCAAGGGCCGAGTTTCCAAACATGACCCTAAATCCAGATACTTAAAAAGGAAAATATATCAAAAGTAAAAACTTTAGTACTAAAAGCACAAGCAACAACAACAACAACAACAACAACAAAGGATAAATTGGACTTCATCAAAATCAAAACCGTCTGTGCTTTAAAGGATTTCACCAAAACAATGGAAAGACAAACCCACAAATTGGAGAAAACATTTGCAAATTGTGTATCTAATAAGGGACTGGCACTGACAATATATGAAGAACTCCTACAACTTGATAATAAAAAGGCAAATAACTAGATTTTAAAATATACAAAGGATGCAAATAGACATTTCTTCAGAGACGCACAAATGGCCAATAAGCACATGAAAATATGTTCAACATCATTAGTCATTAGGGAAATGCAAATTAAACCTACAATGAGGGATTTGATTTACACACATTAGGATGTCTATAATAAAAAAAAATGTAGCTAAGTATTGGCTAGGATGTGAAGAAATTGGAACCCTCAGATATTGATGGGAATGTAAAATTGTCTAGTTGCTATGGAAAACAGAGAAAAAGCAATGTAAGGTCTCTCTTGAAGGATGGATGGCTTAGCACTCTCGGGGGAATGAGTAGGAATTCATCTGTAGAAGAAAGGCTTTTAAGATAAACAGAATGTGAAGGCCCAAAGATATGCACTACTTGCTCATATGTATGTCTGGAAATAAAAGGAACCTGGTGGTCCAGGGCTGAAAGATAGGGCAGCAGGCTAAGGGGCTTCAATGTATCTTGTAAGCAGGGGAGAGTCATTAAAGGGAATTTTGTTTGCTGCTTTAAAAAAGTTTTATAACGTTCAAAGGAGTTGAAAACACTGTAGAGTGAGCACTCATATACCCAATATCTGGATTCTATAATGAACACTTTGCATTATTTGCTTTATCATTGTCCATCTACCCCTTTCTTATTTTTGTGATGCATTTCAGAGTTGCAAATATCAATTCACTGACCTCTAAACATATTTAGAGTTCCCTGTTTGCTTATGATTCCTTTGAAAGGTAAAGTTTACATACACAAATCTTACATGTACCATTTGATAAGTCTTGGTAGATGAATACTTACAAAATCCATATCCCCACTAAAATACACAGTGTTACCATCACCCCCAGAAAGTTCTCTCATGTCCCTGTTCAATCACTCCCTGTCCGTATCACAGCCCTAGCAGCCATGAATCTCATCTCTAACATAACACATTAGTTTGCAAGTATTATTACTTCATATGTTTGGGCTCATTGAGTATGTACTCTTTTTATCCCCCTTTGGATTCTTTCACTTAGCATAATGTTTTTACAATTATCCATGCTTTTATGTGTACCAGCAATTTATTTCATCATATGAGTGTGTATTATAAATTATCCACTGATTCCCCTATTGATACTTAGGCTGCTCCCAGTTTTTTACTTTTATTTGGCTATTATAAATAAAGCTGCCATGAACATTTTTTACAAGTATTTTTTTAGACATAAGCTCTCATTTCTCTTGAATATACGTGAAATTGTAGGGTCAATGCACAGTCTATGTTCAGTGTTTTTGTTGTTGTTGTTGTTCAGTTTTATAACAACGTATGAGTTTCAGTTGCTCCACATCCAGACTGACATTTGATATTGTCTGTCCAATTTTAGCCATTCTTGTGGATGTGTTGTGATATCTTTTATGGTTTTAATTTGCATTTCATTAATGAAAATTGACTTTGAACATCTTCATATAACTTCCTTTGTGAAGTTCTGCTCAAACCATATGCTCATTTTTTAGCTAGGCTATCTTTTCATTATTATACAATAGTTTTGTTTGTTTTTATTGATTTTTTTTATAGAGAGGAAGGGAGAGGGATATAGAGAAACATCAGTGAGAGAAAAACATTGATCAGCTCCTCCTGCACACCTCCCACTGGGGATTTGCCAGCAACCAAGGTACATGCCCTTGACCAGAATCAAACCTGGGACCTTTCAGTCCACAGGCTGACACTCTAGCCACTGAGCAAAACTGGTCAGGCTATAGAATAGTTTTAAGCAGAGGTCTGACAAGATCACTTTCATGTTCCTGATGATTCTCTCTGGCCACTGCATGGAGGAAAAACTATATCCAGGAGACCAGTTAAGAGGTTAAGGTAATGACCCAAGCAGAGATGACATGAATCTGGACTTGAGGGGAGGCAAAGAGAAAGAATATTCCAATTTCAAAAGATACTAAAAGGGAGGATTTCTTGCATGATGGAATGAATAGATCATCTCCTCAAAAAGCAACCCTTACCGTGGATAATCAAAGACAGCCATTTTAGGGAACAGTGAGAACAGCTGGAGTCTGTGGCCTTTTTGCACAGGCTTACTCACATTTCCCATTTCCCCAGACTAGTTCAACTGAGGTTGAATGAACAGGCCATAAAAACCAGAGACTGCACTGCAGCTGCTAAAGGGGACCCATGTGACTTGCAGCATTGTCAGTTAATGTGGCAGTCTCAGTAGCAAGATAATAGAGAGAGCCAGCAGCTCCTTTAGCCTGAGCAAGCCACCAACCAGGGATTTCATGGGAACGTGGGAGGTGAGATGACAGATGTAACCTGTTGGCAAGACTGTCACTGTCACCTACAGGCAAGGGGGCTCCTATAAGGCCAGCAGAAATGTTTTCTCAAGAAAAAATATATAACAAATAACATTTCAGAATTACACTCCAAAACTATAGTTGAATCTATGTGCCTAAGAACCAAGGTTGCATGAATTATAATTCTTTTTAGGCTGAAGATCATAATGTATTTAAATGTGATGTTTTTATCTTCACTCATGGCATTAGCATGTTGGCACAAAGGAGAGTGGTATCTGCTAAGTGCATCATGTGCTTATCAAAATGTTCCAGTTTCACACTTGTATTTTTTGCTAGGACCCCTTTCATCTTCCTTTACGGACATCCATAATGACAGAGGATAAAACTTGAGCTAACAACTGATTATTCTTTATAAGACAAGTTCAAATATGAGCCTAATTAAAGAATTTCCTAACACTTCCTCATTGCTAAAGCATGTGCTTTTAATAAGGAATAAAATCATTCAGACTTTTATTCATGTGCATTGGTACATACACTACTACTGCCCTCATCTCCCCATCTGGAAATACCATTTGTCACCCAGGAGTAATTGGCTCATTTGCTGGGTTTGCCCTTTAAATGTTCCATGTTCTCCTGACACCTGCAAGTTTCATTTAGAGGCCTTTAGAGCTTTTTACTCAAGATGACACTGCCTGGAAATGTTTTGAAGGACAAATTTGACTACAGTATCCTTTGATCAGAATAAAACACTCTTTCCATATGAAAAGTACACAGTTCCTGCAAGAAAGAAGCAAATGCTAGTACCACCGCCAGGACTGCAGGGAGGGTTAACCAAATATACTCATAACTTCTTACACACATAACTGCAACAATGCACCATCACAGCAAGTTACAACCACAAATGCTACAACCATAGCTTACCATCAGAACAGGTTACAACCATATGTAACAATCACAAATTACAAACATAACCTATTGTGTAATAGTTAACATTCTCTCCATATTAGGATCAAATCTTGACATATCCTATAATATATAATAAAAGCCCAGCAAGTGAATGGCAGAATAACCAGTGGACCAGTCACTATGATGCACACTGGCCACCAGGGGCTTCCTCCTGGTGGTCAGTGCATTACCACAGTGGGAGCGTCACTCAGCTAACCGGGATGAGTGGCTGCTCCCGCTGCAAACCTTAAACCAACAAGCAGGAACCTGGGCTGCGATTGTCACCTTCTGGCCCCAGGTTCCTCCCCAACGCCCCCTGCCACCTTCTCTAGATGCCCACAGGCTATGCAGCACCAACACAGGCTCACAGAGCTGATCCCAAAGGCTGGAAGGCAGGTTAATGGCCCAGGACTGAAGACTACTTTGCTGCCTCTCAGTGCTATTATCCCTGGGCCAGGCCCCAACCGGGTCCCCTGGATAGGTGAGTGCTCTGGCTCCATGGAAGATGTCAAACCAGGAAGCAGCCACTCAGAGGGCAGATCAGTGGGCTGTCCCTGCAGGCCATGTCTCCCCCACCAGTGCACAAATCCCGTGCAGTGGGCCTCTAGTATTATGATAAAAGTTTTGCATCACTGGTGTTTTGGGCAATTAAAAATAACTGGCTTTGGGAGAGGATGTGACTATGAAGGTTTAGCATGAGGGAGTTTCCTTATGACGGAAGAATTCTGCATTTTGAATATAGATTGTGTGCATGGTTACTACAATCTACACTTGTGATAAAATGAGGTAGACCTACATGCACACTTGTGCACACACACAAACACACACGAGTGCATATAAAATCTAATAAAATTTAAACAAGGTTGATGCTTGACTTAATAACAGTATTATACTAATATCAGCTTCCTGGTTTTGATAATGTACAATGGTTATGTAAGATAGGGGAATCTAGGTGATAGATACACAGCTTTTTTTTTTTTTTCTTGTGGGCATTAGACTATGTCAAAATAAAAAGATATTTTAAAAGCTGTTTGACTTGCCTGGCCAATGTTGCTCAGTGGTTGAGCATCAAACCCATACACCAAGTGGTTTGATTCCCAGTCAGGACACATGCCCAAGTTGCAAGCAAAATCCCCAGTAGGGGCAAGCAGAAGGCAACTGATTAATGTTTCTCTCTCCTTGATGTTTCTATTTTTCTATCCCTCTTCTCTCTCTAAAAAAATCAATAAATATATTTATTTTATTTTATTTTTTAAAAGATGTTTGGCTTGCTATGGGTATCTTTAAAAAATGTTTGTCACAGTGATTTTTGCTTCTCCCATCCCAAAAGTGACAGGCTTCCTAGGGTGGGGACTTCCCAATGAGTCCTATAACCCTCAGTTACTATAATTGGTGATGCCTTGACAAATGGCTTCTTCTAATGTAGAGACAATAACCCATGCAGGACCCTGGCTTTAGGAACATCAGAGAAAATGTGTGACTTTTCCAAATTGGCTTATAAACTCTCCTCCTTGAGCTGCAAAGTTCGCATCATTCCAAGTGAGCCCCAAGTTGCAAGGGCGGGTGTCTGGGAACTAACTCTGACTTCCCAGAAGTTAATCATGTAATCACATTGTACATGAGAATAAGGTATTTGGCCAGATCAATGTCCCTACCTCTACCCTTGTCGGGTTGGTAGCCACCACCCCCTAATACGTCTTCGAGATCCTTGTCTGAAAAACCTGGAGGAAAAAAAAATAGATACGTCAATGCCAAAAATACATTTTTCAGTGACAAGAAACTTATATAAGTTAATGTTGTCCAACATCCCCAGACAATGATTGCCACTTAATGTTCTTAATCAATGTGGTAGGGAAAATTCTAAGATGGCCCCCAAGATTCCCTCCCACTAGTATACCCACCCCGTATAATATCCCATTACTTTGAGTGCCAGCAGGACCATGAATAGGATGGCTATTGCCCCCGTGATTAGGTTATATTACATTACGAAAGTGAAGGGATTTAGCAGATGTAATTAAGGCACCAAATGAGTATGGCTTTGTATTCATCAAACAGGAGATTATCCTGGAAAGGCCTGACTTAATCAGATGAGACCTTTAAAACAGTGTTGAGACCTTCTCTGAACTCAGATAGTAGAAACAACACAGTTAGTCATCCTCTTCCACTCTACCCCTCTCTGTCTCTGTACGGTCTTTCTCCTACTGGTCCTGGAGAAGCAAAGGTTCATTAGTTCTACAATTGCAAGGAAATGTACTCAGTCAACAACTACATGACCTTGGTAGAGAACGCAATCCCAGATGAGACCACAGATTTGGTAAACATCTTAACTGAAGCTGTATGAAGCCCTAAATAGGAAACTTAGCTTAGCTGTTCCTGAACTCCCCAACAAAGGAAATTGAGATAATAAACGGGTGTCCTATTAACTCACTAAGTTTGGGATCATTTGTTATGCAGCAATAGAAAACTAATACTAGGAAACAGAGTAATTAATTTTATTGTAGCTCAACCACTAAGTACACATTGCTTTAATATTTTATGTAATGAAGTGAAAGTATGCTTAAAGCAGTTCTGTTGTACTCCAAAACGTTATAGTTGATTCATAAAAGCACCTGCGTGATTGGTTCAGTCCTGAGTTGTTTTAGCTGCTTTGTGTCATGGGAGACAACTTTCACATGAAAGACTGAATGATGGGCAAACTATGATTGTGGCAGCTTAATTATTTGGCTGATGATTTCTTTAAAAAATGAATAAAATAGGCTGTCACTTAAAACCCCTGGAGGTATTTGTTGTCAATGACAAGATTTCAAATAAGAATTAAAATTTCAAAAAATTTTACCACTGTGAACATAATAGCTTCCCTCTATTTAAAGGTCTTTTTTTGTTTGTTTGTTTTTGTTTTCTGCCCTGGCTTAGTAGATAGAGCATCAGCCTGTGGACTGAAAAGTCTCTGGTTCGATTGCAATCAAGGGCACATGCCTGGGTTATTGGCTAGTAGGGGTCATGTAGGAGGCAGCCAATCAATGATTCTCATCTTTGATATTTCTATCTCTTTCTCCCCTCTCCCTTCATCTCTGAAATCAATAAAAATATTTTTTTAAAAAAGACTTTTTCTGATGAGATGGGTGGTAATATCAACAAAAGTGAATTTAGCCCTAACCAGTTTGGCTCAGTGGATAGAGCATTGACCTGCAGACTGAAGGGTCCCAGGTTTGATTCCGATCAAGGGCATGTACCTTGGTTGCGGGCACACCTCCAGTAGGGGATGTGCAGGAGGCAGCTGATCGATGCTTCTCTCTCAGTGATGTTTCTAACTCTCTGTAAAAAAAATCAATAAAATATATATATATATTTTAAGTGAATTTAGGGAATTTCTATCTTTCTCCCCTCTCCCTTCATCTCTGAAATCAGTAAAAATATATTTTTTAAAAGATTTTTTCTGATGAGATGGGTGGTAATATAAACAAAAGTGAATTTATATATTTTTAAAGTGAATTTAGGGAATTGCATAATGAAACTTGGCATTATTTGAAAGATCAAAGGATCTCGGGGCAACAATATTTTCCAAATGACCAAATCACAATATACCTAATCAAGAATGCGGTTTAACTCAACTATGGGAAGTTCACTGACACAATTTTATATTCCACCCTAGATGCCCAGTGCATGAAATTCATGCATGGGTAGGGTCCCTAGGCCTGTCCAGTGATCAGGGCCAACCAAAGCCTTCCTTCATTCCATGCTGCCCCCTGGTGGTCAGCACATGTCATAGTGAGCAATCAAACACCCAGTCTCCCAGTTGAACTCCTGAAGGGACACTTTGCATATTAGCCTTTTATATGTAGAGATTGCACTTAACCTGAAAGAAGTAACCTCTGGTTGTGTTTTAAGTTTTTAGTGTCTTATCCAAGGATGTCCACTGTGATCTGAAAAGTCTATTAAAATATTCCTCCCTTTCCCAGCTGCATATCTATATGAGGCCAGATTCCCTCCATATACTTCAACCATTATAACACGTAACAACTGAATCCGGAACCAGCAGTGAGACTCTAGCACTTCTACTAAGATAGCCATTATATCAATTTGCAAAAATTCTTCTCACTAAAGTCCTCTTTTGTTTTGCCAAGCATTGTTATTTCACACAATACTATGCTATTTGTGTTATTATTATGCCTGGACTTATTGCTGTTTATTTTTCATTAATACTTTTTTTTCAGTTTTAAGTTAGAAGATGAGATATTGGCAGTTATGACCCTCATAACCAAAAACCCTTGAGATCCTCAATAATTTGGGTGGTCCAAAAAGTTTGAGAACAATGTTTTAGGGTTTCCTGTGCCTGGAAATGCCCCCAGCTCTGCCAGGCCAGGAGTGGCTCTGTGGCCTATAGTAGTGAATGAGCTACAACTCGACCAGTGAGCTACAGTGCTGGTCAGTGCTTTCAATTAGCTACAACTTACCTCCTCCTCCAGCACTCGGCTTCCTACGGCCATCATTTCGATCATTTCGATCATCCAAGGCATCAGCCAAGTCAAAATCATCAACTTCATAAGAGAGAAAATTAATTGGTTAAATGACAGGTAGCTCACTTGGACACTACCCCAGAGGGAGCTCCACGAAGTCTTTCCTCATTGCCCTCTTTAGAGTAGTATGTTACCTGCAGGCTTTGCAGGAGCTCTGGTTGTTCCAGGTCTCTTGGTTGTGGTAGTGACATGGTTCCATCTCTCTAAAAGAGGGAGGGGGACAGCAAGAAGAGCACATTTAGTAGCAAAATATAGCAGCCACTTCATGGCTCAGAGAAGTCACATCATGAGTAGCGTACCCTGGTCTTGGTCCTTGAGGCTCCTCGTAGGCCTCTGAGAATCACTTAGGGAAGGATGACAAGGAGATGTAGGAGGTTTAAATGAGACAAGTTCTGCTCACATTTCTTCAGAGGATGGGTGGTGAGGTGGATGTTGTCCCACATGTGACCTACAGACCTCCAATAGTTTTCACATTTTTTTGCAGAGATATTAAAAACCACCCTAAAATTCATATGGAATCTAAAAAGACCCAAAATAGCCAAAACAAACTTGAAAAACAATATAAGTTGAAGGATTCACACTTTCTTAATTTTAAAACTTACTACAAAGCTATAATAATCAAAAGAGTGTGGAACTGGCATAAGAACAGACATATAGACCAATGGAGTAACCAGAAATAAACTCTCAAATGGTCAATAGATCCTTGACAAAGGTTCCAAAAACTGGATATACAAAAATGAAGTTTGAACCTTACCTTACACCATATATAAAAATTAATTCAAAATTTATCAAAGACCTAAACACAAGAGCTAAAACTATGTAACTCTTAGAAAAAATATAGGGGGAAACCTTCATGATATTGGATTTGGTGATAATTTCTTGGTTATGACACCAAAAGCACAGGTAAACTGATAGATAAATTTGCCTAGATCAACATGTGAAAACTTTTGTACAAAAGACACTATCAAGAGAGTGAAAAGACAATCCATAGAATAAGAGAATATATTTGTAAATCACATATCCAATAAGAGATTAAAATCCAGACTATATAAAGAATCCTACAACTCAACAATAAAAAAACAGTGATATCTTAAAATGGGCAAAGGGATTGAATAGACATGTCTACAAAGAAGATACACAAATGACCAATAAACATATGTAAACATGCTTAGCATTGCTAGAAACTAAAAAATGCAAATTAAATCCATAATGAGATACAACTTCACACTCATTAGGATAACAATTATCAAAAGGAAAAAAAACAGCAAGTGTTGGAGAGGATGTGAGTAAATTGAAACCCTGGTACATTGCTGGTGGGAATGTCAAATGGTGCTGCTGTTGTGGAAAAGAGTTTGGTAGTTCCTCAAAAGATTAAACATTGGTGATGTTTAAAAAGTACTAGGAATGTACTTAATGCCAATGAATCATACACAAATAGTTAAAATGGTACATTTTGTTATGTATGTTTACTACAATAAAAACACAATTCAATGCCTTAGTTGGTTTGACTCAGTGGATAGAGCATCAGCCTGCAGACTGAAGAGTCCTGGATTCAATTCTGGTCAAGGGCACAAGCCAGGGTTGTGAGCTCGATCCCCAGTGGAGGGTGTGCAGGAGGCGGCCAATCAATGATTCTCTCTCATCATTGATATTTCTATCTCCCTGTCCCTACCCCTCCTAAATCAATAAAAATACATTAATAAACCACAAAAACACCACAATTCAACCTAGGTGAAACACATAATCTGAAGATTCCTATAACCATTAATGAAACTGAATTTTTAAATTTAAAACTTCCCAAAACTTAATTTCCAGGTTTTTATGGAAACACTTAAAGAGGAATTAACACTAATTTCACACAACCTTTTCCAGAAAACAGAGGAAGACTAATTCCCAACTCATTTTGTGAACCTGGTAACAAACAGAAAAAGAGCATATACAAAATTTACAGATCAATATTTCTTATGAATTCATACATAAAAATCTTCAACACAATACTAGCAAACTGAATAGAATATATAAAAAGAATTACACAACATGAACAAATGGGATTTATTCTAGTTATGCAAGTCTGGACCTATATTTAAAACCAATATAAGTCACCATATCAGCAGGCTAAAAAAGGAAAATTATCTATATATACACTGAGTGGCCAGATTATTAAGATCTCTGAATGCATAATAATCTGGACACTCAATGTATATTCTATATAATAAAAGGCTAATATGCAAATTGTCCCCTCAACTAGGAGTTTGACCAGCAGGCAGGCTGGCCAACCACCCATGTCCCCTCTCCCTGGCCAGGCTGGCCGGACCCCACCCCTGCACGAATTCATGCACTGGACCTCTAATACACACACATACACACACACACACACACACACACACACACACACACTCTGAGTGGCCAGATTATTATGCATTCAGAGATCATAATAATCTGGCCACTCAGTGTATACATAAGGCGAAGTGTCTGTCTGTCAGGCCATAGCTATGATGCGCACTGACCACCAAGGGGCAGGTGCTCAATGCAGGAGCTGCCATGATGCACACTGGTCATTTAAAAATAAACAGCACCATGGACCTGACACCAACAAACCAATACTCAGCCTCCTCCAAGTGGGACACAGGCCCTGACATCATCCCAGAGTGAAACCCCACCATGTTTCTATCTCTCTCTCCCTTATCCTTCCTCTCTAAAATCAATGAAAACTATTTTTTTTAAATTGCATAAGAGGGAAAACATCCACACATCCACATGAATACAAGTAAAATTGGAAAAACTTGAATAAGATCACTAGACTATATCAATGATAATCTCCTGGCTGTGATATTATAATTTTACAGGATATAGGGAAACTGGATATAGGATGTACAGGATCTCTCTGTAGTATTTCTTACACTTCCATGTGAATTTACAATTACCTCAAAAGAAAAAGCCAATTTAAAACTAAAGATTTAGCCCAGATGACATGGCTCAGTGGTTGAGTATCAACCTATGAACCAGGAGGTCACAATTCTATTCCCAGTTTGAGCCTGCAACCCAAGCATGTGCCTTATCCCCAGTAGGAGGTGTGCAGGAGGTAGCCAATCAGTGATTCTCTCAATACTGATGTTTCTATATCTCTCTTTCTTCCTCTCTGAAATCAATAAAAACATATAACTAATAGATTGATTTGAGCATCAAGGTCGTTTTTATACCCCCAATAACAATTCTGATGCACAAATGACTGGTCTTCATAGGAATGTCTATTATCAATCTGGAAAAAAAATAAGGAGCAAATCATGAAGTCCAGACTTAGGGGAACATAGCAGTAAGTAGGAACATCTAGAAATGAAGTGGTATACACAAGGAACGTTTTCAGACAGTTGAAGCTTCTTCCTTCCTGATCCCAATGGTTTGTACAACACTGAAACTCTTCTAGAGAGGGTATCTTTCTAGAGCAAGTAATACAATTCTCTATTTGAAATGAGTATATAAAACACCACTTTTCTAGAGAGCCTGGGGTCACTTTTTTTCTAAGATCACACTGTGCTTACTTCATAAAGACGAGTCCCTTTTTCAGCTTCCTAGATTGTTGGAGCTAATCTTCCAGGACTAGGAAAACTGCAAAGCAGACTGGTAACATACTAGAAGTCAAAGGTGATATTTTTGGCTTCGAGGTGCTGCAACAATTTTCTGGGGGCAGGTTGACCTGTGCCTGAGTAGCGGCCTTTGCCAGGGCTTCTTCAGCCAGGGTGCATCACTTGACCTTAAACTCACCTTTGGGGTCATCATTACCCTGCCTGTGCAAGCACTTCCAATGACAGCATGAAGCAGAGGAAAAAGTCCTCAAGGTAAAGCCAGAATCTCTGGGCTCCAGTCCAGCTGCATTGTTAGCTTGCAGCAGGATGTTGGACAAGTTCCTCTCATCTGAACAATGACGGGAGGACATATTCATTAAGGTGTTCCCGGGTTATGTCATCTAGAGTTCTTCATTAATAAAGATGGCTTTAATTTTTTAAAAGCTGAAATTTATTAAAAAGGGAATATATGCTCAATATAAAAAAAATAATTCAGCCGAGATCGGTTTGGCTCAGTGGATAGAGCGTCGGTCTGCAGACTGAAGGGTCAAAGGTTCGATTCTCGGCAAGGGCATGCACCTTGGTTGCGAGCACATCCCCAGTGGGGGGGGTGCAAGAGGCAGCTGGTTGATGATTCTCTCTCATCGATGTTTCTAACTCTCTATCCCTCTCTCTTCCTCTCTGTAAAAAATCTATATATATATATATATTTCCAATGGTATAGAATGGCAAGAAAGAAAATATAAAAGTCAGTCACAAATCTCTCTCCAGGAGTGGCTACCATGAATCTTTTCAGACCTGCACGCATGCCTGTGTGCATGTCTGCATGTTCACATACACTTATATTTGATAAGAACTTGATTCATACTACATATATCCTGTTCTGTGACTTGATTTTTTCATGTCAGTTCTAGAGATCTACCATATTTTTTGTAATGGCTGCAGAGTATGAATGGTTTGGAATTTATGAATTTAACCCTGAGATTTGAGAGTATTTAATTCTTTAAATATTTGAATTGACTTTTTTATATATTTTTATATATTTTTATATATTTTTATATATTTCTTTTAAATATTTGAAGAGACGAAGGGAAAAGGATAGAGAGATAGAAACATCAATGAGATCAGTTGCCTCCTGCAGATGCCCTCCTGTAACCTGGGCCTGTGCCCTGACCAGGAATCAAACTGGTGACCTCTTGGTTCCTGGGTTGATGCTCAACCACCGAGTAACACCGGCCTGGTGAAAGTAACTTTAGATTGATACAAAACACAAGAAAGCTGCAAAAGCTATTCCAACTGTATCTCTGTACACATGCTTAAGTGCACCTAGAAGGAAAATTCTTTGAAGTAGAACTGCTCATTCAAAATCTTTGTCAAATTGCTCTCCTAAAAGGTTTAACTAATTTATATGATTATCACAAAAGTGAAATTATGAAAGTGTAACTTAATACACAGAAGACATATAAAATTGACCTTCCTGCCCCAACTCCACAAATATATGCTCATTGCACATTAATATTGAAGAGCTCAGTGATTTGAAGGAAAACATACGAATGCTACATAAATATGTAATCTTCTCAGAAAGTTCTTAAAAGTTTGTTCCATGGACCTCTGGGGTCCATGAGGTCATAATTATTTTCATAATCAGCCTCAGATATTCTTTGTCTTTTTTATAGGGTTGATATTTGCACAATGATATAAAAGCAATGGCGAGTAAACCTGGCCCTAGAATGAACTAAGGCAGTAACACCAAAGAGTACAAGGAATCATTAGATTCTTCACTATACAATAGCAGTTGAAAGAGAATGCCAGTGTCACTTAATGCCCTAGATAAATATGGTAAGTAGAACTCTTACATAGTTGTCAAGACTCCTGCTCTGTTGGTTGGTATACACACTCCATATAATACCAGCCCTTTGAGGACGAGAGGGACCATTTCATTCCCATAATCAGGTAACATATGGCAGAGGTGAAGGAATTTTGCATGCTGAATTAAGATGCCCAATCAGTATGAGTAAATTACTCAAAATGGAGAATATTGTGCATGATTTAATCAGATGAGCCCTGGAAAAGAGAGTTTAGGCCTTCCCTGGACTAACATTACAGGAAACAGACTCTGATTCTCTTGCTGACCTTGAAGAAGTAGATACAAATTCTATAACTGCACAGAAATGAATTCTGACAACAATCCTGAACGTGTAACTATATTACTTTACATGGGAAAAGGAACTTTGCTGATGTGATTAAGCTAAGGACCTTGAGATCAGGAGATTATCCTGAATTCTCTAAGTAGACCCAATGTAATTATAAAAGCATGTTAAGGGAAAGAGATTGAGGCAAAAGAGTCAGAGAAGGAGATGTGATGATGGAAGCAGGGATGGGAGTGAGAGAGAAATTTAAAGGTGCTATACTACTGACTTTAAAGATGGAGGAAGCAGCCACATACCAAGAAATGTAGGTGGCATCTAGAATCAGGAAAAGACAAGGAAACAGATTTCCCCCTAAAACCCCCAAAAGGAATGCAGACCTGTCAGTACCTTCATTTTATCCCAGTGGAACCCAGATCATATTTTTGACCTCTAGAACTGTAAGATACTAAATGTGTGTTTTTAAAAAAATATGCTTTTATTAATTTGACTTCACTTTTTTGTTTTTGTTTAATTCTCACATGAGGGTGTTTCTTCCATTGATTTTTAGAGTGGAAAGGAGAGGGAGAGACACACACTTGGGCTAGGATGAAGGTGGTAGATATTGACAGATGTGACCCACATAACCAAAAACCCTTGAGATCCTCAATAATTTGGGGGGTCCAAAAAGTTTGAGAACACTGTTTTAGGGTTCTCCTGTGCCTTGAAGTGCCCCCAGCTCTGCCAGGCCAGGAGTGGCTCTGTGGGCTGTAGTAGTGAATGAGCTACAACTTGACCAGTAAGCTACAGTGCTGGCTAGTGCTTTCAACCAGCTACAACTTACCTCCTCCTCCTGCACTTGGCTTCCTGCGGCCATCATCACGATCACCGAAAGCATCAGCCAAGTCGAAATCATCACCTTCAATGGGCACCAAAACATAAAGAAACAGCCAACCAATTAACAACTGGGTGTAAGATTCCAAAAAGACAAAACTATACCCACAAGGTCAGTTAATCAATGGATTAAGAAAAAAACAAAAAACTTAAATTGGGTTCTAAATCCTTCTACAGATTTCAATAATGGAAACACCAGCAGCATGGAGCAAGTTACTGCTTTCTGCCTTTGAATTATATTAACACTAGAAGCCCAGTGCACGAACTCATGCACCAGTGGGGTTGCTTGGCCTAGCCTGTGAGATTGGGCCAAAACTGACTCTCCAACATCCCCTGAGAGGTCCCAGATTGTGAGAGGGCAGAGGGCAGGCTGAGGGACCCCCAACAGTAAATGATCAGGGCCAGGGAGAGATGCAGGAGGTTGGCCAGCTGAGGAGAGACCAGAGGAGGGCTCCAGGGCATGTCCAGTCCATCTCACTCAGTCCTGATTGGCCAAACCCCAGAAGCAAAGTAACCTACCAGTCGGATCATCTGACCCCTCATGGTCAGTGCATGTCATAGTGACTGGCTGGCCAGTTGACTGGCTGACCCCTGGTGGTCAGCGCATGTCATAGTGAGAGGTTGAGGGGCCTTAGCATATCATTAGTATATTACGTCTTGATTTGGTTGAATGGCCAACCAGTTGACCAGAAGACCAGACACTTAGCATATTAGGTTTTTACTATATAGGAGGATTTTCTACTTTTTATATTTCTATATATGCTTTCCTTAGGCCAGCAATCAGACCACAACATAATCACTGGTTATATCTATATATTAACCCAATATTCAAAAACCAGCTGCATAGAGGGCATAAACTGGACAATCAAGAGGGAGACTTCATAGTCATACACAAACACACACACAAACCACCCTTTTGAGGGTGCAAAGTGAAGACACGAGGGCAAATTATAAAGCAGCAGTACATCTCTCCTGATTCAAGACTGTCTCTTTAGAAGAAAGGTAACCCTACTTCAAGGAACATGGTAATATGCTCCTAAATACTAGTAACAAATTTCCAGATGGAAGCCATAATTGCACCTCCCACCCCCACTGCTAAGTTTGTCTTTATATCAGTGAAGATGTCCAAATAGTAAGATGGCCCATCTGGACAAGGTTAAAACAACTTCAGGAAAAAGTCACAAATTAAATTCAAGTTCCAAAATCCTTTACTGAAAATGACACTGCAAAATAAATGTAATCCAAAATGTTCCAACTGTCTAAGAAAGCATTTGACGTGTGCGTGTGTGTATGTGTGTGTGTGTGTGTGTGTATGTGTGTGTGTGTGTGGTGGGGGTCATAAACCTATACAATTACATCTGCCCTGATTTTAGAATGTGAAATGGTTGATAGGGGAAGAAAATCCAAATGGGTTTTTCTCTTGAAATTTTCCCAAGCAAAACTTTTCATAAAAAATAAAGTCACATTGATTTGACCAGCTATATCCTCTATTAAGTTAAATCCAATGTTCAGATAAAGGTCTTCGTTGGCATTGCATATACAGGGTTTAAAACCATGGGTAGTTCACCTGGAGACTATACTACCCAAGAGGGAGCTCCACGGGGTCTTTCCTCATTGCCCTCTTTAGAATAGTATGTTACCTGCAGGCTTTGCCGGAGCTCTGGTCGTTCCAGGTCTCTTGGTTGTGGTAGTGACATGGTCCCATCTCTCTAAAAGAAGGAGGAGGACAGCAAGAAGAGCACATTTAGTAACAAAATATAGCAGCCACTTCATGGCTCAGAGAAGTCACATCCTGAGTAGCGTACTCTGGTCTTGGTCTTTGAAGCCTCCCGTAGGCCTCTGAGAATCACTTAGAGAAGGATGACAAGGAGATGTAAGAGGTTTAAATGAGACAAGTTCTGATCACAATTCTTCAGAGGATGGGTGGTGAGGTGGATGTTGTCCCACATGCAACTTGTGACTAATGGAGCTGGGGCTTCCTCCCAGATCTGTTAGAGGTGACCACATGGTCCAGTGAATTCAGAATTGGAGCATGGCCCTTGTGAGCTTTAAGCCTTGGTTTACACCTCTATCAACCTGGAAGCATATCCACAGACACTACTGCCCATGGATGGATGGAAGTTATGTTCCCTGTAGAGTATGGGAGTGTCTCATAAACTTAAAGTGGTTATAACACCAAGGAAATATTTTACATCAGTGTGGCAACTGCTGCCAATAATAGGTCTATGGGCTTAACCGTATTCCTTTAAATTGTAAAATTCTTTCATATTAATATGTTTTCCAATAGTTTCTTTTCTTGAAAGCAGAGTCCGTGTCACCTTGAAGGGGAAAGTGGATCTTGTTGGAGGCTTGAAAAGCTACAACTGCGGCAACCACCGAACAGCTGCAACCACCAGAACACCGGGCCCAATTGGCGCAAACAAGTGGATTTGGAGGAGCTCTGCACCCCACCACAGAAAGGCCACATTTCAGCTGGGATAAGGTGAAGTATCTGATCCGGGCAGAAGAGAGAAACATGTGCTTTGCAGGAGGTGGAGGACCAGGGAAGTCTGTGCCCAGAAAAATTCGTGGCTGCTGGGGCTGGCATGATCCATGAATGTGGAAGGGGGTCCTCAGAGGTGCTAGCAGAGGAGATCTCTAAGAAGCAGCCCATTTTGTTCTGATTCAAAAGGAAGGCCTAGGAGTCCTAAAAGTGTACTGGCTGCTTAGACCCAAGGGGGAAAGGAGGACTGCACAGACTTGCCTGCAGCCCCATTGTTTGACACTTGGGCTTTTTCCTCTTCAAATCCTTGCTTCTGATTGCTAAGCCCAATACAAAGGATCACCCAGTTGGGGACACTCTGGGAGACTGCAGGAGAAAGTTGTTTTTCTTGAACCTGAGGATCGGAGCAGGGAGTGACCATCAGAGGACCAGTTCTGAGGCAGCCCACTCCCACAAACCAGTACTGAGTGCTACAAGGAAAGAAGGCTCTAACCACAGGCTAGAGAGGCCATACAGAACTGGAAGTCAATCCAAAAACACTGCCACCCAGGGGCTGAATCACAAATTGACTCTTCTGTAATAAAAAATAAAGGAAGCTTCCCATGGCCACCAATATTTTTGTTGGGATTTATTTATCTTCTATAATTGAAACTTTGTAGCCTTGAGCACAGGCCAGGGCCAGTCAGGGCGGGTGGGAAGCTTAACTTCCTCCATTGCTGGGGCAACCCAAGCCTCCTGCTTGTTTCAGCTCTGTGGCTGGCTGCCATCTTGGTTGGGTTAATTTGTATATTCGCTCCTGATTGGCTGGTGGGTGTGGCTTGTGGGCATAGCAGAGTGATGGTTAATTTGCACATTTCTCTTTTATTAGTGTAGATAATACTCCAACTTAGTATAATCAGGGAAATATATAATAAGCAATAAGATATTTTGTCCACCATATTGGTAAAAATGTCTTTGACTGGTAAAATCTGGTGGTGGTGTGAGGCTGGGATAAAAGGTACTATCATAACAGTATTAATGGGAGTACATAATGGTAAATTCATTTTGGAAATAATTTGGCAAAATCTGTTAAAATGTAAAATACATATACCTTTCGGCCTTGTAGTTCCACTGTACTTGGACACAAAGGATATGGACAAGAAATGTTCACTGAAGCCCTATTTGCAATTGTGCAGAACAGAAACAAACCCAATGTCCATCAGTAACAAAATGGCTATGGCCATAGCCACATCACTGGAATGCTAGTTCCATGAAGTACAGGTTTGTGTCTGAGATATAGGTATATGAATAATGCAGTAGGTTGAATGGTAGCCCCCAAAATATATAGCCAAGACATGATCCAAAGAACCCAGGAATAGGACCTCATTTGTAGAAAGGATCTTTGCAGATGTAATTAAGTTAAAGTTCTGGAAATGATACCACTCAGGATCACCCAGGTGAGATCTGAATCCAACAAAAAGTGTGCTTATAAGAAACAGAAAAGGAAAAGACACACACAAATGAGAAGGCTGTGTGAAGATGGAGGCAGTGATTGGAATGCCACAGTGGCAGACCAAGGAACACCAAGGATTGCTACCACCACCAGAATCTGGAAGAGGCAAGAACCTCCCCTTGAACCTTAGGAAGGAGCATGGTCCTGCCAATACCTTTATTTTGGATGTCTGGCCTCCAGAATTCTGAGAGAATGAATTTCTGTGGTTTTAAGCCACCTGGTTTGTAGTACTTTTTATGGCAGCCCTAGGAAACTAATACAAATAAATATATTCACTTGGGTCTTTTGATACATATTAACTAAAAAAAACAAATTATGAAATAAGATGCATATAACTAAATTAAAAAGCCCTACAGATGTTATGTAAAACAAACAAACAATAAAAACAAACTATGTGTATAGATGTGCATAATGACATAGAATACTAATCAGCAGTTCCTTCTTGAGATGGGAGTGGGTTTTAGTAGGATGGGGAGGGGTCAAGGAAAATCTCAGCTTTACTTTCTAAGCATTCACACATGTTTTTAAATGTAAAGACAAGCTGATAACAAAGCTTACCATTTGAGAGATTATATGCAAACACCATCTTAAGTTAACACATTATTTTTTTTTAATCTAAAAGGAGAAACAAATCCCTTATTCACTTCAAAGTACCTTATTCTGAGCTTGGAGGCCACTGCTTGATGGCATGTTATACCAGTATAGGCTATGACTACAGCTGGAGAAAATGCTATATCAGTTATAACATATAAGAAACAAAGAATTTTACATATTCAGCTTTTCTTTTGAATAATATAATTTATGATACCCATATTTTATCCGATCAAGTGCAATACAAGCCACCCATTTTTCTTGAGTATGTATTCCAAGTGGATGGTACATATTAATTGTTATTGTTTGCTTTTAACAGATTATTTAATTTACTACTCACGCTTTACTGAGGAAGTTTCCTGCAATGCATCACTCAGATCAAAATCAAAGTCTGCGGATCCTAAAAAATAAAAATAAAAATTTTAAATTTTAACTCTCTTTGCATGAAACAACATAATACTAAAATGCTCTCTAGTAATGGTCATTTCTCTTTAGTGTCATGAAGATAATGCCACAAAAGAAGATCAGTTGAAGCCTCCCAAAGATATAATGAATTGATATCCTTCCACAAACAACTTATCCACACACACACAAAAAAAATCTTTCAGTCCATTAGAAGCTGGAAGGCTCAACTGTATAGAACATAAAGTACAAGCTTACAAAAATATTTCTACATGTTATGTATGACTTTTGCAACAGGTAATAATGAAGCCCAAAGCTCCACTGAAAATGGACTAAGATTTTTCACCTCATCCCAAGTTTCAAAGACTACTCTGCATTTTGTCAACTCAAGGTACCCCATGGTCCTAGCACATACATCTAGATTAGTAGCTCTAACCAATCACACATAACTGAAAAGACTCTGGGGAAAAGCTTTCCACAAAGAATCTTCTACTCCATCTGCCCAATGCTGCTTGTTTTGGATTTTGACAGCTATCATTCCCTTGAGATCGGCATGTACTAGTTTCCCATGAGAGTATATACATTATCAAGTCTCAAGCAAACATTTATGCATTCCCACTGGAACTGAATAAGTAAATGAATGGTGGATTGTAGAAGCTAGGTTTCTCACTGTTGGAGAGTCAGATAATCAAGATTAACACAGACAGTGATGAGTAATATTGATTGTGTATATACCCTGGATATGATATGATGAAAAGGGTGCTATAGTACGTATGTGGCCTTCCTCTGAAAAACACATGGCCTTCCTCTGAAAAACCTAAGTATAATTATGAGAAAAACATCAGACAAATTCCAATTGAAGGAATCCTACAAAATACTTGACCAGTATTCCTCAAAACTATCAAGATCATCAAAAACAAAGAAAGTCTAAGAAACTGGAACAGCCTGAAGAGTCTAAGGAGATATAATTATGGAAAGTCAAGTGGTACCCTAGATTGGATCCTGAAACAGAAAAAGGACTTTAGATAAAAACTAAGGAAATCTGAACGAAATATGAACTTTAGTTTACAATAGTGTATCAATATTGGTTCATTAATTGTGACAAATGTGCCATATTTTTATATGTTTTTATTAATTTAGAGAGACAGAAAGGAAAATAGGGAGGGTAAGAAAGGAGAGGAAAAGACATACACATAGAAACATTGATGTGAGAGAGAAATATAGGTCAGTTACCTCCTACATGCATCCCGACTGGGGGTCAAACCTGTAACCTTGATATGTTCCCTGATCGGGAATTGAACTGGCGACCTTTTGGTGCATGGGGCAACACTCAACCAACTGAGCCACACTGTCAAGGGCTCAAATGTTCTATATTAATAATAGGGGAAACTAGGTATGGAGCATATTGGAACTTTCTGTACTAGTTTTGCATTGTAAATCTAACACTGTTCTAAAAATAAAGTGTATTTTAATATCTATTTCCTATAGCAAAAATTAAGGGTAACCATGATCTGTAACCTCAACTCTTTCCAAAAAATAAACATGTAAGTTCAACAATAACTTAAAATCAATCAAAAAAAGTCACTAAACGGAAAAAAGAAGCAAGAAACATATTTATCCAAGACCATAGATTATATAACACCAAGAGTGAATCCTAATGTAAATTATAGACTCTGGGTGATAATGATGTGTCAATATAGATTAATCAATTATAATTAATGTACCACTCTGGTGGGGGTTGTTAATAATGGAGGATGCAGTCACCCATACATTATTTAATGTATTTAACTGTTAAATGCATTACCCACCAATAATAGAATAGACCTTTATGAAAACTGAAAAAAATGGAGGAGGCTGTACATGTATGAGGGCGGAAGATATATGAGAAAACCCCATGCCTTCTGCTCAATAGTGCTGTGAACTTAAAACTGCTTTAAAAAATAAAATATATTGAAAAAAGGATGGCAAAAGCCTATGTAATGGCATGGGAGATGGCTCCAAGATAGAGTATTAAATATATAAAGCAAGGTGCAGAGAGTTTTTTCATTTATCTATATGCATATCCATAAACATTTTCTAGAAAATTTGGTAACAGTAGTTATGTCTAGAGAATGAAAAACTAGAGGTCAGGAAGAAGGAGCATTTTACTATTAATTTAAACCCTTCCCTGCTTTTTTTGTTTTTAATAATGTACATGTATTTCTCTTATGATGATGATGATAATGGTAATTTAAAAGCTCTGTATCAACCCTCCAAAATCATAAACCTATCGTCCTACTGGGTTTTCCTTTAAAACTCTATTCTTGCTTTCTAACTCCAGAATTGGAAGAATCGGTTCTTCCAAATAACATCTTGCACGGGTAATATTTTTAGCCGCAGCCATCCCACTACTGTTTACTGACACATTCTGTTATATATCATCAAGTAAAGAGTTAGAAACAATATAACACAGTTTTGCAGTATTTCTTAATCCCTCATTGACCTTGGATTCAATAGACCCAAACCATCTGTGGACAAAACCATTCAATCTCAATCTATACATCCTGAGCTCTTAAGGCTACTTCAGAGCCTACCACAAAGTATAGCTGCTAAAATCAAGATGGGAACAAATATTTGTATGAAAAATACCACATCTCAAATGATTTAAAGTAGGGTTGTATTCCATACCTCTTCTATGCAATCTGTAACTAAACAACTCAGTTTGGGTGCAGGCACACAAGTACTCTCCCACTTTATTTTTTTATTTTATTTTAATATTACTTTTATTTTTTTCCTATTTTTTATTTCTTTATTGATTAAGGTATCACATATTTGTCCTCATCCCCCCATTCCCATCCCAAACCCCTCCCCACATATGCCCCCACCCCCCTGTTGTAAGTGACCACTGGTTAGGCTTATATGCATGCACATAAGTCCTTTGGTTGATCTCTCCCCCCTTTCCCCCACCCTCCCCTACCTTCCCTCTGAGGTTTGACAGTCTGATCGATACTTCTCTGTCTCCGGGTCACTTTAACAATGCTGATTCACCATTTGGCACCAGGCACACATTAGAAATCAAATTATTCATCGTAGGCTCAATTTACAAGCCCCAAATCACTGTGTATCTGGGGGATCAGTGTTCAAGTATTGGGCAGAAAAGTTACCTCATTCAGTCCACTCTCCCTCCAGGTAGCACATCCATGCCATTCCCGCCCCCACCCCCACCCCTCCACCCCCCGCAAGCACATATTCCCCAACCTCTAAGAGACCTCATGATATTTTTGCTGCTGTCAATGAAGTCTTGCTTGCTTTTCTAAAAGAAAAAGTTACCTCATTCCACTGCAGAGGGTCACAAAAATTTGTTTTAATGGAAAAAGTATGTAGTGGACTGGTCACACCTGTATGAAAACATCCTTTCATAGAGCAGAACTTTTGGAAATATTACACAGAGCCTTGTGTATGTCCTTGAGAAGATCCATTTAGTAAGAAAAACGCTGCTTCTACCCACAGATAGCCCAGCAGCCTGTGTCTGTCCTAAAGTAGATCTTGTCTCTTGGGGAGGGAACACAAACTTGACCTCACCTTGCAACCTGACCTACCATGACTGGGGTGGAAAGCAAAAGGAGCGTTTTCACAAGAGCTGTAAAACAAGACACAGCAGGCAATTGTTAGAGAATTCCACCAGGAACTGGCAGGACCCAGAACCTGTCTTGATTGAAATATCTGATCCACGAGAGCGCTCATGTGACGTGTCCCTTAAGCAATCTTTCATTTGGATTTTATTTAATTAGCCACTCTCGCCTCCTTTCTCCTGCCTGTCCCACTTAGTTTTTCCTGAAAGCTTGACCCTTGCAGGTATGTATCTATGTTCATTCTCTCTCTAGCCATCACGGGAACCACTAGCCACATGTGGCTGTTTAAATTAAAACTAATGAAAATCCAACAAAAATGTTAAGATTCAGTTTCTGAGTCACACTAGCCACATTCCAAGTGCTCCATAGCCACACGGGGCTGGTGGCTACTGTGTTCGAAGGCGTTGACAGAGAATATTTCCATCACCCTGGAAAGTTCCACTGGAGTGTGCTGCCTTAGACAGTGAGCTGCTTGAAGCAGAGACTAGGACTTGGTCATCTCTATGCCTATGCACAGGCCCTGAAGCAAGGAGGTACTCCCTGTTCATTGTGATTATCCAAAGAGTGTCTCCATACTGTGAGAATACCTTTGAGCTTTTCCCCACAGACTCACCAGTAGATAGTACATGATATTACTTTGTGACAAACCCATTTGGATTTCATGCCAAGAGCAAACTCATCTTTGCAGAGGAACATGTCTGCTCTCTGCTGATGGATTAAGAACTGCAGAGATAATGGACCTCTGGCTGCTGAGGATTTCGGAGTTAGTCACAACTCAGCCATGGAGATGGGTGCCTCTCAAGTGTCCAATTACATCTATTCCCCTGCTCTCTCCCATTTTTCTTTGTACATATGAGAAACTTTCTATTTTTTTTTTCTTTTTGGAAAGGATCCAGTACAAATCCTAAAAGCTCACATAAACTGCTTTTGTTTTCAAATTTTAAAATCTTGGCCCTTTTCGGTGGATGAATAAGAATGCAAGGGGCACCTGAGACTGGCAAATCATTGATATGACATCTCCGGATTTTCCATTTGTCTGTCTAAATGGAGCTTCCATAAATATGTTATACTTAAACTTGTCCAATGCAGGGAGGACCCACTAGAAGGTGGGCCAGAATCAAATTCCTACCTGAGGGGTTAAATTGTGATACATTTAGCAGGACTATGGGGTACACCCATAATCACTTGGGTTCAGAAAATAAGACTAGCCTGGCTGGTGTGGCTCAGTGGTTGAGCATTGACTACAAACCAGAGGTCATGGTTGGATTCCCGTTTAGGGCACATGCCTGGGTTGTGGGCTCAATCCCCATTAGGGGGCGTGCAAGAGGCAGCAGATCAATGATTCTCTCTCATCATGGATCTTTCTCTCTCCCTCTCCCTTCCTCTC